TAACTAACAACTAATTAAAACTAATAAGCCAAAATTTACTAACCTGGGTATTATATATTTATTCACAACAGGGTATTTTTTTCTAATGCTAAGGAATTGTAATAACTTAAATTCAAATCATTTTTATATAATTAAAATTATTTTCTAATTAACATTTTCACTTGATAAAATAATCCTCTAAACGTGGGCGCTGTGTTTTGCATAATTTCTTCGCTCGCGGTTTCAAATAATTACATGACGTGTATTTCTTAGATTTCTGATTTTCTATTGTTTAGGAATATATTTGAAAAACATTCATTTACATTAACTCTAATTTATTTAATTTTAGTTCCAGTTTAATTCTAGTATATTGGTCTTGACCGATTTTGTAATAACAAGTATTAATAAATGAAACATATTGAATTAATAAATTTATCGTTTTAAGTAATTGAAATGATTTAAAAAAGTACAATTTTGCAAAGTTAAACTTATAGTTTTGAATATTGCGCCACCAGCTAAAAGTTATTACTCTAATTCGAGAATAGATGTCACACCATGTCATACGGCCTCGTGGTGTTAATTCGCCCAGTTCAGTAGGTTATAAAATATTCTGTGGTAAATTGTACGCAATAAAAGTATTGTTTGCAGGTGACAGTTTATTGTTAGAATCATCTTGGACAAATATTATATTTTCAGCGTAATAAAACGATTTATTGCAGTGTATTTTTGTCTTAATATAAAGTTATAATAGTGTATAAGCAGTGTAGTTTACAGGGTGTCTTATCCAGGGAGAGAACATTTTTTTAAAGTGAGTAGTTAGATTCTAATTGTTGATTTTAGTTTCATTATTTCTTGGTAAGCATATAATTGTGCAAATAAAATTTAATATAAACGTAATAACATATGTCATAGGCAAACTATGGTCGTTCTGTTAATTGTTCTTATAGGTTATGTTACCGGTTATCTTATAGGTTATGTTACTTCATATTTTATAAATACTTGAGGATTTTATATCCTATTACTTATCACAAAATTTATCAAATTATAAAGTAAATCTATCTATTTATTTTGGGCTATGAAAAGTGACTAAGTTCTAAGCAGGTGTGATTAGTTATATTTATTTCATTAACAATTGATTTCAATTTTTATATATGATATATTAGATAAAAGTCAAGAATGTTCTTTCTCAGTCTCATTCCTCACAGAGGTGGTGACTCAGACTCCACATGTAGTGCGTATTTGCGACACAGGTGATAATTTGCTTAAAAATCCAATACATAACAATATAGTGTATAAATATACTTTTATATCGTCATATATTTTATTATTTACTAATTATTAGAAGAGGTAAAAACAATTAACTTTATTTATTAATTTGGAGGAATATGGATAAAAGAATTCATCAGTCTGTTGAGATAAAAGAAATGCAATAATATAATAGTGCAGTAAACGGAGAGGAAAAAAGGGTATAACCTCTGAATTTTTTTACTGTGTTCCGAATTGAATGAAATTTTGGAATTATGTTCATCTTACCATCAAGTTCAAAAGTGAAAACAATTCGGGTTGCGCCATCACCCCCCGGGGGAATGACACCCCCTCTCAATTGTGTAATTACATTTTTTCAAAATAACGTCGGAAATCGATAGAAGAACTAATTATAAGAAAAAAATGTCTTCTATAGTTTTTCAAAAAAACTAATAATTTTCAAGTTACTGGCCACTAAAGATTCATATATTTTTGGCGTTTTTCTTCGTTTTTTTGCAAATATCTCCTAAAATATACATTTTAACGAAAATCATGTAATGAACAAAATAATGTCAATAAAAATCTTAATAAATCGGTATTACATAAAGTGTTCTAGGGAAAATATTAAGCAAGATTTGAAAGAGCAAAGTCGTTTTTTATTTCGTTCAAGATTTAATTGTTGTATTCAAAGCCATCTAGTGTCGAGGTTTTACATTTTATGCATTTCGGTGAAATTGGGTTTTATAGTGCTCAACATAAGCTTTAAAATGAGTGCTGTTACAAGTTTTTTGCGTGTAAAATGAGTGAGCTATCATGCAAATAAGAAGCATATACGAAGTTTTTTTCTTTCAAATCATATGGTTTAATGAGCGCCATTTCCACCAGAATTAAAGTAATTCACATTGCATCTAGAATTCACTTCACTATAGATATCTTGATAGATTCTAGCACATTCACTACTTTAGTACAAACTATTTTCAGAAAACTCACGATTTTATAAAAACTTTTTTTTCCAATTTGCGCGGCCGCGCAGTCTTTAAACATTCATAACTCTGTCAATTTTTGTGTGAAAGAAAAATAATAAAAAACAAAAATAAGCCAGAAAAATCCCTTTGACTTTTATCTATATGCTTTTATACGTATCTTTTATTCTTTTTGAGATATAATGAAAATAATTTCGATTTTTAAAAAAATTGGAAGAAAAAGTTTTTATAAAATCGTGAGTTTTCTGAAAATAGTTTGTACTAAAGTAGTGAATCTGCTAGAATCTATCAAGATATCTATAGTGAAGTGAATTCTAGATGCAATGTGAATTACTTTAATTCTGGTGGAAATGGCGCTCATTAAACCATATGATCTGAAAGAAAAAAACTTCGTATATGCTTCTTATTTGCATGATAGCTCACTCATTTTACACGCAAAAAACTTGTAACAGCACTCATTTTAAAGCTTATGTTGAGCACTATAAAACCCAATTTCACCGAAATGCATAAAATGTAAAACCTCGACACTAGATGGCTTTGAATACAACAATTAAATCTTGAACGAAATAAAAAACGACTTTGCTCTTTCAAATCTTGCTTAATATTTTCCCTAGAACACTTTATGTAATACCGATTTATTAAAATTTTTATTGACATTATTTTGTTCATTACATGATTTTCGTTAAAATGTATATTTTAGGAGATATTTGCAAAAAAACGAAGAAAAACGCCAAAAATATATGAATCTTTAGTGGCCAGTAACTTGAAAATTATTAGTTTTTTTGAAAAACTATAGAAGACATTTTTTTCTTATAATTAGTTCTTCTATCGATTTCCGACGTTATTTTGAAAAAATGTAATTACACAATTGAGAGGGGGTGTCATCCCCCCGGGGGGTGATGGCGCAACCCGAATTGTTTTCACTTTTGAACTTGATGGTAAGATGAACATAATTCCAAAATTTCATTCAATTCGGAGCACAGTAAAAAAATTCAGACCTAAAACGCTCCGTTTACTGCACTATAACTAGTGGGGCGCATGGCATAGTGCCTTAAGGCAAATTGCTGGAACTTCCCGTACCGTAACGAAATGTTAAAGGAATATTGAATGTTTTCAAATAGATTATTATAAATATTGTAACATTGTCTAATATTTATAAGAATTATATAAATTGAATTGCAAACTAGAAATTCTTTGTATATTAGTACAATATTATAAATTGTATTAATTATTATATATAAGTATATTAGAACTTTAGTCAGAATTAAAAATAAAATCTGATTTATTTTCGATATACAAAAAATTTTTTTTTCCAAAATCAATCATTTTGTTAAAACAAGCAGAAAGTTCTTTGAATCATTCAAATGGACGCTTAGTTCTCTCAAAAACTGCAATTTTTTGCATATTTAGCTCTGTATCTCCGAAACCGCTGGATCTGCTTTTGCCAAAAACTAATCACCCCTTCTCCCCGTCATTACAAATTGAATGTTTTTTGGGTCATTCAAATCGGATGCTCCGATCTCTCAAAAACTCGATTTCTATTTTCTGCATTCTTTGCTCCGTATCTCCGAAACGGCTGGACCAGCCTTTGCCAAGAACTAATTAGCACATTTCTCTATCAATAGGAATCGAATGTTTTTTGAACCATTTAAATCGGTTGATCCGTGCGCCCGAAAACGTGGACGAAAAATTGTATCCATACATACACACACACACACATCCATTTTTTCTGAGGTATGCCAAAATGTTCAGAAACCTTCAAAACGTCGAGAAATGTAAAAATTTTCAATTTCGATTTTTGGACGATTACAATAACTTATCCTACAGGAAGTTAAAAAAAATGTATTACAAAGAAAAATGACGAAAAGTAGTAATTTTTTTTTAAGAAACGTGCAAGTTTTATAAAATGTAGTACATCTATATTAAATTTTATAGTCTTCAACCTTCAACTGGATATATTGAATTGTGTATCAGAAAAACGTAACTGCCTTTAATAATTGGAACATTTCGTGTTTTATTTATTCCTATTGTTCAGTTTATTTATTTATTTTATATTACAAAAAATCTATAAGATAAATTTTAATTTTTTACAGTAATATCAAAAAAATAAAATCCAATGATTACAAAAATAAAACTAATTAACTATTAGAGCCAAACTTTAATAACTTGGATGGTATAGATTTGTTCACATCAGGCAATCTTTTTTCTAATGCTAAAGTTAACATGAAGCAAAAGAAATGTAATAACATAGATTTAAATAATTCTTCAATAATTAAAATTATTTTTTAATTAATATTTTCACTTGGTAACATAATCTTCTAAACGTGGGCGCTGCGTTTTGCATAATTTTTTCGCTCGCGGTTTTGAATAATTACATGATTAGATATTTTTAATCGTTTCTTTCCATTGTTAAGGAATATGTTTGAAAGACATTTCATTTACTTTAAGTTTGATATTTTTTTAAATTAACTCTAGTACATTGGTCATATCCAATTTTGTAATAAGAAACATTAATAAATTGATGGTTTTAAGTAATTGAAATGTTTTAAAAAAGTACAAAACTTTTTGCAAAATTACTTTCACACGAAACTTATAATTTTGAATTATGCGCCACCTGCCAGAACTTATTACTCTAATTCGGGGATAGATGTCACTCCATGCCATGCGGCCTCGTGGTGTAAATTTGCTCAGTTCAGTAGGTTATAAAATATTCTGTGGTTTAATCGTACGCAATTAAAGTAATGGTTGGAGTTTAGATATTGTTAGATTCATCTCGTATATTATATTAATTGTGGACTAAGTTGTGTTATATATAGTGTTTTTAAATCGGACTGCAGTTTGCAAAATTATTAAATAATTTATTACGTTGTGTATTGTCTTAATACAAAGTGATAATCCAGTGAGAGGACGTTTCCAGAAAGTGAGTAATTAGATTATATTTGATTATTTTGGATTCATTATTTACCGGTAAACATGTAATTGTGCATAAAATATATAATATAAATATATAATACTAATATAAATAGACAAAATATGGTCGGTTCCTTAGTTATGTTTATAGGTTATGTTATTGGCACTATAGCTAAAATTTTACATATGGCGGAGTTTACTTAGTTTTATTTTATCACAACTAAAATATGAATGAGTAATTGAATTCTAATTGTGTCCGGATTCATAATGTCTACTCATACGTATATTCATAATTAACTTCCCGTAAGGTAAGTTATAGTAATCGCAAAAAAATCGAAAATGAAAATTTTTATATATCTTTACGTTTCAGAGGTTTCTGAGTATTTTGGTCTAGACCTGCCTTCATGAAAATTTGATCAGTTCTTCATCTTGTTAATACAAGTAAATATATTTTGAATTAATCAAATCGGACGTCTTAAAAACTGAGTTACCGTTTTTGGCACTTTTTGCCCCATATCTTCGGAACGACTGGACCTGCCTTCGCCAAAAACTAATCAGCACATCTCCTTATCAATACGAATCGAATGCTTTTTGATTCAAATCGCTTCATCCGTGTTCTCGAAATCGTCGAGAAAAATTTGTATGCGCACACACATACGTGCACACACACACACATACATCCATTTTTTCTAAGGTATGCCACAATGCTCAGAAGGTTTTGAAACGTAAAGATACATAAACATCTTCATTTTCGATTTTTTTGCGATTACTATAACTTGCCTTACGGGAATTTAAAAAATATTTTGGAAGATGGATAAAAGAATTTATCAGCCTGTGGTGATAAAAAATATAATATTATAATAATTGCCAAGCAAAACTAAAGCATTTTGAAAATATTCATGTTTATTTGCTGCATGAGGTATTGTTGAGATACAAAGTGACATAGTTGATTAATTTTACTCTGTATTGCCATCACATAAGACCCGCGCGAAATATGAATCCAAATATACATATACAATAAAAAAAGGGATGGTCATCCTTGCAGTACTTAGTACATACAAAGTTTACAAGAATTTGTGGAATCATCTTTGTTCTTGTATTGAATTTATTTTCTTTTTCTTTTTCGTATTTTGTCTTAGTTAAGATAGATTTTTTATGTTTAACCTTTACCAGAAAAGGACCAAAAATACATGTCACAACCGTACTCACAAAATTGGTCACCACAACCGTACCAAGCCAAAACTAATTGCTGGTAATTAACAACTAATGTTCACATTACAGCAAAATGACAAAGTGATCTATTTGTATGCAAGTAACAGTTATCAAAAGAAATCGAACGAAGAATTTTTTTTGACTGTTCAAAAGCAATGTGGCCTACAGATCATGAATGTAGGGTGTCGACTTAATTTGGCAAGAGCCTGAAATAATATTTATTGTAATTGATTACGGCTTGCTTATGAATGAATAAAAATAAAACCTAGTGGGGTGGGTGGCATCGTGCTTTAAGGCAAATTGCTGGAACTTCCCGTACCGTAACGAAATGTTCGAGGAATATTGAATGTTTTCAAATAGATTATTATAAATATTGTAACATTGTCTAATATTTATAAGAATTATATAAACTGAATTGCAGAGTTGAAATTATTTGTTTAAAGTATATTAGAACTATAGTCAGAATTAAAAATAAAATCTTAATTATTTTCGATATACAAAAAATTAAAAAAAAAAAAAAAAAAATCCAAAATCAATTATTTTGTAAGACAAGCAGAAAGTTCTTGAATCAATTGAATCGGACGCTTAGTTCTCTCAAAAACTGCCATTTTTTGTACATTTAGCTCTGTATCTCCGAAATGGCTGGGCCTGCGCCTTTGCGAAAAACTAATAACCCCTTCTCCCAATCATTACTAATTGAATGTTTTTTTTAGATCATTCAAATCGGATGCTCCGTTCTCTCAAAAACTCTATTTCTATTTTCTGCACTCTTTGCTCCTTATCTCCGTAACTGCTGGACCTGCCTTTGCCAAAAACTAATCAGCACATCTCCTTATCAATAGGAATCGAATGTTTTTTAAACCATTCAAATCGGTTGATCCGTACACCCGAAAACGTGGGCGAAAATCTGTATCCATACATACATACATACACACACACACATCCATTTTTTCTGAGGTATGCCAAAATGTTCAGAAACCTTCAAAACGTCGATAAATGTAAAAATTTTCAATTCCGATTTTCGGCCCATTACAATAACTTACCCTACGGGAAGTTAATAAATAAAAGCAATAATTGAAACTTGTTCGAACAAACATACTTCATCTTTCTCCTTTCGTAAAATATCTTGTTTCAAATTCAAAATAGTTCAGCTGCTATGGCGACTGTCACTACCGTACCATGGCACAACCGTAGTAAGATAGACAAGAATTAAATATTACACAATTTTCACCTGAGAATAGTGAATTATGTACCAAGAAAACCTCACTGGCTTCATTAATTGATTTAAAACCAAACGACTTCTTCATGCCGATGCCTCGGCATTGGAACATTTCATAAGGTTGTCCTAAAAAATCAAAATTACTCCGGGACACGTATGCGTCTCACGACCATATCCCTATACGAAGAAGAATACCATAAGAAAGAGACGATTAAGAATTTTCAAGATACAAGAAGGGCTGGTGGGGCATGTACGAGCACAGGCCCGCGTGATATCTTAATAACTCGACTTGACAGCTAAATTATACTAAATTACAAAACGGCTAAATTACTAGCGGCTTGCTGTTAAGAAAAAAACAGCCTACTCAGAGCTCCGTGCATGTTATATTGTCGGCTAACACGTCTCGCACACATGCCCACCTACTTCACGTGTATTCGTAATACGTGTACGGGGAGATCGATGGCTGGTGGAAAATTGAAACGTATCGAACATTTTTTTTTTGCATCAAATTGCATTTGGTCTGGCACTGTGAGATTTCGTTAACTTTTTTTTGGTTAATAGAATTTTACCATGTAATAAATTATAATTAATGTATTAATGTGTAATATTTGTAATAAACTAGTGGTGTGTTTGGCATTGTACCGAATTAAAGTGTTGATTTAAAGTTTTGAATCCGAATTTTTTTTTTTGATTGTCGAATTTATTTTTTTGGGGAAATTGAAAAAAAATTGAAATAAAAAACAATCGTTTCGTCAACACAAGCAGAAAGTTTTGTGAATCATCCGAATCGGATGCTACCATTTTTTGCACATTTTGCACCGTATCTCCAGACCTGTATTTGCGAAAAATGAATCACCACTTCTCCACATCATTACGAATTGAATGATTTTTAGGGCATTCAAATTAAATGCACTTATTGCTCCGTATCTCCTAAACGGCTGGACCTGCCTTTCTCAAAAACTAATTAGCAATCTTCCTATCAATAGGAATCGAATGTTTTTAGAACTATTTAAATCATAGAAAATAATCAAACAAAAAATCTCCCTTCCAATTAATTTTATAACAGTGCTGACAGATACAAGATTATATCGTGCTCTTTATACTTACATCAAATCTAATAATATAAAATTATAAAAGAAATATACAGAAAACAATGATATACATATACGTAAGACTAGACTTTAAGAGATAGTGTAGATATTATGTAATTTAGTATATGGCTAATGTACTAGCTTATAAAGCCAATAAATCATATATAAAAAACTATTTAAATCAGTTGAACCGTGCGCCCGAAGACGTGGACGAAGAATTGTATCCATACCTACATATACACACACATATCCATTTTTTCTAAAATAAGGTATGCCAAAATGTTCAAAACCTTCAAAAACGCCAAACTATTTTTGAACGATTCCAATAACTTACCTTACGGGAAGTTAACAATAGTCTTTCCGAAGGCAGGTCCATGATGTGGGAGCACCACAAATCAATGATTCCGTTTTCTTTCTTTGTTTATTACCGCCATTACCATTTATTAGAATTATTTACCTTTTTACACTTTTATTCACTTTTATGCAGTTTTCTTTCCAAACTTCTGCTTCCATGCTTTCTGGGTCTTTTCTTCGGTTTACAATTCCCTGTTTTTTCTCTTTTGGTATAAGTCGTCAATCATCTGTATTCTTCTTCTTTCCAATCTTTTTAGTCCTTCTATTTTACTTTCGGCGACGTCGTGTAAGAGACACTTTTTCTGCAGAATGAGTCCGATCCAGTTTCCTTTTCTATTGATGATCGTACTCAGTAGAATTTTTTCTTTACTCACTTTTTTGAGCATTTCTTTATTTATTCACTTTATCTTCATTCGCTTCCAGCACCACATTTAAAAACCTTCTATATTATATAGTCTTTATTAGAATCTATGTCTCTGATCGGTAAGAGCTATGCTCCAGACATAACATATTTTAAAAAAATGTAAACTTGAAAATTTACATTAAGCTCAAAAATTCAATGAAATGTAAACTTAAAAACATTTGATTTTAAAGATTAACGTATAATATAAAATAAAAGGTAGAATGTCCACGAGCCACACGTTTGATAGTAATACAATATAGAACGAAAAAATGTTTTTTTTTATTTATTTAAATAGTGATCCAAACTTAATAGTAGTTTATAAGCTGTTGTAATATTTTTTAATGTGTAATAAATTGTAATGGTAGAAGTTAATCCATCGGTTGTCCTATATAGACTAGAATTGGCTTCCTAAAATTTAGATTTTTGTATAATAATTTGTATTTTTGTATAATAATTTAACCCTTTCCACTCGGATGCCGCAGAGTAAAATAAAATATATATTAATTTCGGAATTTACAAGCGGAAATCTTTAGTAAATCGAATTTATCCGAAAAATTGATAGTTTTTAAAAAGAAAAAAAATTTTTGTTATCTTAAATACAAATCGGATGCCTAGTTCTCTCCAAAACTGCCATTTTTTGTACATATAACTCTGTATCTTCAAAATGGCTGGACCTGTCTTTGCTAAAAAATAATCACTACTTCTTCCCATCATTACGATTTGAATGTTTT